CCCCAAAACCCCCAAAACCCCAAAACCCCAAAACCCCTATTCAATATAATCATATTGACTTAGATCTTACACTACAACTTGCTTATTCATGTGGCTTTAGTGGGCCTGAAATGTTTGTGCACACGTAGAAAGTCTTTTCATAATGCTTGGAGAATTCAATGTAGATCTCTCTGCTTTTTAAAAGTAAGAGATCACCTTTTCCTAACTCTAACTCTTCAATTTCACCTTGATCGTTCTCTAATTTGATTCTGGATTTATCTTCAGTGTCGAGAATGTCAAATTCTCTAACGACTAATATGGCAGTCACCTTAATCCCAGTATCATACTTTTTATCAGAATTTTTGTGTCTTTTGTAGAAAGATTCTTTTTCTGAGAAATAGTGAATGTCTATAGACTCATTCACTTGAAGACTAAGGTCTGGACAATATTTGTTACATTCAAAAGGAAGCCAGCTTAACTTCTCACAAGTTGGCTTTAGCTCTTTGACTTCTTCTTCCTCTCCAAGATGATGATAGTTGAACTTAAGAGTCTGGTCAGTTCTCGTCTTCTCCATCATATTTTGGAGAGTCCTGATATCTTGGAATCTTCCTTCTCTTTGAAGCTGGACAAGTTCTTTAAAGCATAACTCAGTTTTCGAGAAATTAATGAATTGTTTTTGCACTCAGAATCCCTTTGACATAAACTTTTCTATATTAGTTGATTCAATCTGATCTAGTTCAGCTTCTTTTGGGGCTCCATTAGGAAAAGCAAGCAACATTGGCTGATGAGCATATGTTTTCTCCTTCTCCATAATCTTTGCCTTAATTTTGTTTTTGAAATATCTGTTCACACTCTCGTAGGAAATCTTTTTCATGATCTGCTTGCACTCTTCCTCACTGAAGGTGATTTCTTTAGGCTTTTCCATCCCTGGTAACATTGGAATAACTGATTCAGGACCCTCACCTGCTTCTACTTTAGCTTGGAGTCTACTCAGGATCATCTTGTATGAATAGTGAATTTCTTCTAAAAGACTTTTAAGCCCTAATTTAAAGCGTGGAGGGTAAATTTCTTCAGCAATCAGCTTTTCAACTGCGTTTTGATCTTTTTCATCAATAAAGATGGTAGAATGCATTTCTTCACACAAGTCTCCATCATCGTGAGAGTGATTATGCTCAATAAGACCTCTAGTCATTTTATCATAGTATGCTGCTCCATTCCTTTTCTTGAATTCTTCAGCCATATCTGAGTCAAGTGTATTTAGGATCTTTGGGATGTCTAAAAATTTCTTCAAGAATAACTTTGTGAGCTTTCCAACCTCTTCTTCGGTAAATTTCTTCATGTTATAGTTACTAAATATGGCAAAATTTATTATTTAAACCGGGGTTTTGGGGTTTTGGGGTTTTGGGG